TTTTTGTCTTTTATTTTTTTTCTATTTTTTTTATCTTTTTCTTCTCCCTCAGAAGGTATTTCAACGGCTGACGAAGACCTCGAGAACAGAAGACTCCCAGGTTCGGAAAACCTGTCATTGCCGCGAAAGATGGGACATTGCTACCTCCTCAGGCCGGGGAAAGCAAAAACTGCATTCTAAGTACCGTATTTAGAAGTATGCCGGCATTAGTGTGACGGGTAATGCTAAGGCACGATAGTTGCATACTGTGAAACATCAACATCAAGGCCAAGGCGGCTCTGGGCTAGCACGGGGTCACGAAACCACAGCATATCGCCCGAGTGCAAAGATGACCCGGAGGAAAACTCGGCAAGTGGGCAGCAGTCTACTTTCAGGGAAGATGGCGTTACGCTGAGAGTCACAACTACAAGGTAGCTACTGTCGTGCAGATTGCTGAGAAACGGGAAAATGCTGCTACCCTGCCAGGGTCAGACAAACAGTGAGCACCCGAGAACCCGAACAAACAAGGCTGGGTGGCAAAATGGTCGACTATAGGTTATGTTATGCTGTGCGATCTGACATCTTTCGTTCTGATGCTCCCTTGCGCTGGTCTAGAACCATTCGCAAGAGCAAGCAGGCGTTTTCTCACGCACACCGTGAGCTTGAGTACCTGGTAGTATGTCGTATATGCGAGCCCTGTATACAATTTCCGAAGTCACCGGGCCTGGCATTCGGATGCTGTGATGACGTGTACTCCTTCTGAAGGGCCCAGTCATGTTGCCGTCCCACGATTGGAGTGTCTCACGTTTGTATGCGCTGTCATGTCGCGCAAGGATTCTCAGGATGTGGAAGATGGACCAATGGCAAATGCCTTGTGTAAAATAAGAGCTGGGGGCCATGCATGAGGCAGACCACAGCCCATGGAGGGTATCCCTGCCGCGGAGTCGCTGCCTTAACTGCATTGGTGATTTCGAAGAATACGGTCCGGGAGAATAATACCTAGGCAAAAGTGTCAGGGGTATCTTTATCAAAGATTCTCGCAGCTTTGTATCTCAGCCATGTGGCCAACAGCAACCAAGGCTGGGCCAGCTACCAGCAAGCCATGGATGGTTGACGCCAAGGGATTCTGCTAGCCCCTGTGTATGTCAATAGGTTACAAAGTCTCTTTATTTCATCTCCACAGTGTTTATGTGAATGAAGCTGGCCTATTTTTCAGGGACATGCTATTTGAGCATGAGCATGGAGGAGGGTTGCACAATCCCGGATGTGTTGGCTGACACGTCTAGCGCTAGCGCGACGCCTTGAAAGTGTAACCTGGCACTACTAGAGGGCATAGCGGCTTCATTTGAGGCCCATGAGGGGAGTCGCTGGAGAAAAATCACTTACGAAGACAGGCATCTATTTACCGCTTAACGTACTCCGGGTTGTGCTTGCACGCTGCCTCGATTTTGGCAGTGCTGCTTGTAGATGCGCGTTGAGAATCTCATTAGCCTGCCTCAGAAACGAGACTGCCTCAGTATCTGGCTCCATCTTGAGGCCCATTACCGAGTTTTCAGGTATCGGAAAGAATTCTCGATTCGTGGCATCCAAGCAGCCGGGCCTAGTCATGAGCTCCTGCGACTCCCCATCAGCCATCTAACATTAAGCATCAGCACCACTCAGTCGTACCCGAGGCAGAGTCCGTACCGCGAGGCAGAGTAACGTTGTTTCGCCAGTATCACACCAGATCGAGACGACCGAGATTCCGAGGCTTCAAGAAAAAAAAAAGCATGATAATAATCCGAGGAGCCGAGTCGCCAGACGGAGTCTTCACTGAATGTATGCGAATGTGGTATCTACCGTGACAGCCCTGTTGCTGTCCGGCCTCATCACTGCAAACTTTTAGCTGCTCTTAGCTCGCCAATGAACTTTTCGCGACTGGCTACTGCCAAGCGGCTAGAATTCACGACTAGAACTCAAGGTTTTGCTTAGGTCGGCCTGAACTGTAAGCTGCCAGAGCTGTGGAAATAATGTGGCTAACACCTTTTCATGAGACTATTAGCGGATTACCAGGCTCTACACATGGATTCAACGCAGATACTCGATACATGGGAAGACGAAAGTATGTTGTGAGCCGGTGCGACCGACCGACCGATCCTTTTGAGAGGTCGATGGCTGAAGCTTGCAACCACAAGCTTGCGCTGTGTTCGAAGCACAAGACGGTCGCAATCTATAATATCGATCTTTGAGGGATGACAAAAACGCCGGTGAGTAAAAACCGCGTCTTTCGCAGGCAATACCGCCTTTTATCTTGTCGCTTCCTGTCACAAGGCTTGAACAGCCTCTTGAGATTCGTCTTGGCTCAGATACCGAACCGCCTCGCGCGGGGCAATGCATCAGCTCATAATCTTGCACGGGCCTGACGGACATTACAAAAACCAATCTTCAGATGCCGTTCTTGTATTTGACGGGCAGAATCGATGACTATTGATAGAGCGCCGAAGCCTTGGGAGAGCTTTCCGGCGTCCAACTCCTGGCCGAACGAACACGGTCCTCAATGAAAGCGGTATCGGCCGTGACGAGCAAAAACAAGCGGTGAAAAAGAAAATTATAAAAGCAAAAGCAAAAAGGAAGTATTACAGAGCATCGCGACTATAGACTGTGCGACAAAGCAGCTTCCCGTTGAGGTTGTTCAAATGGGATAGATAGAGGCATGGGCAGCGAACGAGCAAACGGTATCGTGTATAAATTAGATCACGCTCGCTCAAATCCATGATCTTGTTATAAGCTTTACAATGAAAACCAGATCGACTATTCTTCGAGATGGCTTCTATACTAGCAGCCGCCCGCGTCTACGCGACGCGATTCATTAATCGCTTACTGAGGAAGCAGTGGTCCTTCATCGTCGTTGGAGCTTCAGGGTCTGGCAAGACGGGTCTTATTGAAGTTTTGACGAAAGATGACCCAAACATGACAGTGAGTCATGCATATTGAACGCTTTCTGTTTTTGTCTATTTTTTTGCAGCGGTTCAATGACCCTCGATTCCCAGTATTTTGCCACGACAGAGCCACAATACCACGACATACCGGGCGAGAACTACTCGGTGACCGAGATTCCAGGCAGTACTTGTCTTAGTCCGGGTATCTCCCGGATTCTCCTTTCGAAATTCGATCTAATCATCTGCGTCTTTCACGAAACCAAGCCAGAGACGATCGACTACTACAGAACCCTGTGGAAGGGTAGTCCGCCAGCGCCAGTCGTCTTCGTCGGCAACAACGTCCCGGGGGCCAGGTACGATCCTCGACTGGAGCCTCATCGAAAGTTTCTGGGGTATCAAAAACGAATCATGCTACAGGGAGGCATAATATGCCCATATTTCCCTGTCTCCTACCAGAGCAAGACGAGCTGCAAAGAGCTTCTAAGGTTCTTGTCTCTGGGCTCGTGGCCAATACATGAAGAGCTGGAGCACGTAGAAGAATAGTTTCCATATTATAGATTGACCATGCTAATTCTAAAAACTGACTTTTGAGGACAGGAAGAAGTAGCCAAAGCACTGCTGGCTTGGCTCAGATCGACAGGCATAGGCACTGGTAACGCTAACAAATGCAGCGCTGATGGTAGCAGACAGGATTAACATTTTACAGATGCAAACAGGCTTAGTTAAAAGCATCATATTTATCTATTAATACAATTAATGAGCATTTAATAGCTTCCGATCGGCCGTGAAGAGCAACGTAGAATGCTGCTAGCCTTCTTGTAATCCAATTGGCTTGACGCTAGCGTCTCAATGCCAGGATGGCCGAGTGGTTAAGGCGGTGGTTTTAAGTTCTTTTATGCTTAGCTCACCACTATCGCGAGATTCCAGGGTTCGAACCCCTGTCCTGGCAAAGTTGACTTTTTGCACGGAATGCTGATTTTTATTTTTGAATAATGAACTGGCCTTGACAGAATTACTCGTTGCTTATTTGGTATTCATGTGGTGCAATTTTGCGCATTTGGAGACTGGAGCTAATAACAACAACCTAGTTCGCAACGTTTCAACGAGAATGTACAGTAAGGTACACACGATGCCAGTTGCGAAAGAAGAGAAAAAAAATGATAGCCAAAGCTCAAAACATTATCCGACAACGGAGTAGCTGGGTAAAAAAAGTTTCGTATTCGTCATGGTGCCGGCTAAACGCTACAGTTGAGGCCGCTGCTGAGGCCTGGAGCTCCCTCTTGATATTGCTGCAGCCGCCACGTACGAGCCTTCAGCCACACACTTGTTGATTTGAAGTGAAATCTGGAAATTCGAGAATAGCTGAAAGTAGTACACCCAGAAAAGTGGCGCAATAACAGAGAGGCACGCTTGTCGCCCTCTTCTTGTCACATATACTTCTTGTACGACGGTGTTAGTCGCACACCTGGCCATCGATGCCACGTTTCAGCTGCCGTCCGGTCTTTCCAGCCGCTGATCAAAAGTTGTTCACTCAAATGTTGCTGCCTATCACTTTCTATGCAGCTGGCAGGGATGAGCTCAGTCAAGTGCCGTCGTCACGGCCCCCAACTTTCTCCTGCACACGCTTGGGAGCTTAGGCACATACTTCCGTGGCTGACAGGTACTTTCCTCTGAGTCCAAGTTGTACTTTCTCGTACTTTGGGTTTTGCTCCTCTATTCTGTAAGCACAGCCGAAGTGTAGAAGCGATCTTTACGTATGCAAGCAAGAGAGAGCCGTGGCTTCGGGTGTGAGCCAGATGACTTGACAACTGAGACAATAAAACGATCTTGCCTTTATGACTCAAGTTGTTTGTGAAATATCCAGAGCCCCAGCTATTTTTTCAACGCCATCTATTTTGCACTGCAGTATCCCTTGCCCTGCCACTCCGCTGTTGCCGAATATGCGAGGCGTGTGTTGTACTTTTAGCCTCCTCAGGCAAGCCACACCCCATGGTACGCTCCGATGCCACCAGAGCCAGAGGTGTGTTATAAGAATGAGGGTCTCTATTACATAGCTCTACGTATCTGTGTGTGTGACCTGCCAAGGCGGATGTGGCTTGCTTGTCGCCGTCTTTGTCTCTTATCGGAAGGCCTAACAGACAACGACTTGCAATCACGGTCTACCTCCCGGAGCAAGTGTAACATGTGAATGCATCTCAGGCAGCAATGGCGCGCCATGGCCTTCTTTTGCTGTGGCTTGGAGCTGTTGGCTGAGTCGAGACGAGTTCCATCTATTTCTTCCGAGACAGCGAATATGCAGCGCTACTGCAGAGAATAGACTCTCCTGCAGGGTGATGGCAATATGCTCTCTCCTTCTCTCAGAAAGATATCTGCTATTATCCTACATAGTAATGCACAGGCTTATTGTCCGTCTGGGTATAAGAAGAAGGCTGCACATCAGGAGATTTGCGCTTCCTATTCTGTGGACAGCAGCTACAACAAGATCAAAATCAACATCCTTCACTTCGTTTCAGTAGAGGGGTCAAGAGATGCTTGCGAATCATGACTTAGATGCCAACGAAGGCCCAAGCGGTGAGTTGACAAGACCTGTCCTCCATTTTCGAAGATCGAATCGTCATACTGGGAGCTCATTGCCCAGAGAGTCCTGGTCAATGCTGCGATAATATACCTAGCAACATAATCACTGACTTGATGTCTTTAGAGCCGTCTCGATTCCCTACCAGTACACGAACGTCTAGCGAGACTGACTGTGAGGATCAATCAGACGATCAACTAGAACGAGGCAAACGTGAGAGAGAAGATCAAATTCAGTGTCCAAGAAAGAGGAGGTCTCGCTTTAGGGCTTCCAGATCGCTAGATCGGGAGCAAGAAGAGGGCTGCAACATAGGTCCATCCATGCACCGTAAGGGTGAAAGCTTGCCCGAGGTATCTTCGCCCATCCTCGGTATCTTCCAGTCGTCTCTGCAACAGGGCGAGAGCTCGAAAGAAACTAAGAAGCGGGAGCAAGCCGGCGCTGAGCTACCGGAGTACGACTCTCTCCAGGCCGAGATCAACAACTCGCTAAGAACTGAGAAGCACTATGATACCATAATCAAGCTGAGGTGCCAGAATCGCAAAAACATCAATTTGAAGCAACATACTAGGGGTCTGAGAGCAAGGAACAAACGCCTAGCTCGAGAGAACAAACAGCTAGCTCAAAAAAACGAACAGCTAGCTCGAGAGACCAAGAGGCTAAACATCGAGTTTGGCAAGGCCTTTGAAGCATCTTTGTCAGATAGGGCGAACGTGATAAAGTCTCAAATTATGATTGATGCCAAGGATTTACAAATTGAGTACTTCAGAAGCATTGCTCTCGAGCATTGTGGGAAGCCTCTACAGCACGGGGACTCTACCGAAGAGTCGGACACAACGATTCAGGGAATGGAGAATCTCAGGCTGGAGGTGTCGGAAGTCAAGAAGCAGCTGCAAGAAAAAAACACGACATGGAACAAACGCATGCAGGTTTTCGAGGAGAATCAGCAAGAAACAGAGACGCGCATATTGGCAAGTGTGAACTGGATGATCGATGCAAAGATTCAAGAGCTGGACAACTACAACCATCATGATGCCGAGCCGATTGGAAGCGGCGACGGCTATCTGCCAGTGTTGCCCGGTCTAGACTTCAGCGCGCCAACGCCCTTTCCCGATCTGTACCAAGAAGCAACCCCGCTGCAGGCAATCAGCTCCGACACAGTCGCCTTTGAACCGCTAATAAGTCCGGGCAGCAATGAGCCAATGTCAAGCCGTAACCACTACAGCATTCATCCTCCGTGCTCACCGACATCGTCGCTGAGAAGCCAAGACGCTGGGGGGGTTTTCTTGTCAGTGCTGCCCTGGTCAGAGTACCAGGATGAATCGTGGACAGGCTTCTCGAGCTGATTATTGGGCCGAGAAAGCTGAAGGAGGATTGGTCAAAAACTTCAATGCCCCAGGGACCTTGGAGGCAAAGGAAGCGGAGATGAGAGGCAATGTGGCGAGCAGAAAGAATCCAGTCCAACCCTTTGTTTTTTGGTCTGGTCGAGTTTTGCTTGCCCATGTCGAGTTCTGCCTTTATGTTGAGATTTGGCCTCGTGTGACGATGCAAGTCTTGTTTCTGTATCGAGGTCCAAGGTTCGAGGGTCGTCTATCGCGAGAAAACTGGTTGTCTGTATAATTAACACTCATTGAATATTTGCACAAAAAAATAAGAAAAGATTTCCTTTGTAAACCTTCTTTGCATTCTGGAAGCCAACCTAGGAATTTCACACAAATTATAGGCAAGGATGCTCATGCAATCAACCACCACTTTTGATTTCGAAGCCGGCGGATGCGCTGATAGACTGTATACCCCAACCTGCCAGTCTCGGCGCATTGTGCAACCTTCAACGGATGACGCGCGGGTGCAGGACTGCTGTCTCTTTGAGTGTGTTCCTATTGGATGACATTGCTGCCGTGCGACACCCAGAGCGCCACTCAGACAACGCTCATTCATTCCGTGATACATCAACACGTTGCGTGCTTGCCGCCCGCTCATGTACGCGGCTCACGGCTGGGCATCCGTGGCGAAATCGCGCATTTGGCATGTCAACAACACATTGCAGAGCACTTTTGTAGAGAAACATATTCAGAACATTGCCCTTCCGATTAATGAAAGCCCCGGGGTAGCTGCTCGCTTCTTCACGCCTCGACCGCCGGCCGCAACATCGGCACCATCTTGCTCGTCCTCACCTCCTCTGGCTGCCTCACGTACCCGACGCGCTCATACAGTCCCACGACATCCTTATCCGAGTTTAGATATAGCGGCAGTCCCAGTTCATCCGCAATGTCGCTCGCCCACTTCAGCAGCGTCAGGCTGTGGCCTCGCCCCCGCGCCGTCGAATGCGTCATGACAATTTCCACGTCTACACTGATTAGCCGATCTTGTTTTTTTTTTTTTTTTTGCAGTACCACAAGCAAAAAAGTTGAATCAAACTTACAGACATGAGGCGTGTCTCCTAGGACGGCTTTGTGCTGCGCCGTCATCCCCCCGAAAAACTCATCCAGCTTCGCCGTATTCATGCCCGGCAGCGGCGCGCCCCAGATTGTTTCCCAGGGACTGTACAGCGCCGCGAGGGCGTCTTTATCCCGCGCAATATGCAACAAGCACGCGCCTTTTGCCGTGCCTGTCGATTTCAGCCCCCCCAAGATTCGTTAGCCCAACAGACGCTCCCATTATTCCCGAGGGATGATTTATGCGCAAAAGACATACCGGATTCGTCGCGAATCACACCAACACGAGATTCCAAGCCATGCTCAGCCGTCTCAGAAGGCCGGACAAAGTTTTCCCAGGCCGCGACGACGTAGGGTTGGGGGAACATGTCATCGAAGTGGCCGTCGTCAAAGGCATTCAGTTGCATAGCGCCGAGCGTAGGTGCATCGGCCAATACGGCAGCTTGCACTTGAGACATGACGATATTTGCTCTCTTCGCTTGTATATGCAGGGTCTTTTATTCTCAATCTTCCACACCACGAGTTGTTGCTCTGGTGTTTATTGTAGAGCGAAGTTGTTGTGTGAGTTTCAGATGCTGAGAACGGATGAGAGCCGGGACCAGATTCCGAAAGTAAAAAAGAGGGCAAGCAAAAGTATGGAGCACGTCTAGGATTGACCGAGTGGCTACAAAAGAAGAGAGTTGTTCGGGAGCAACATCTTCGGCGAGGGGGGGCTGTTCCCGGGCAAAATAGCACAATGACACCAAAGCTGCCAAGCTTCGGCCTCCGAGAGCCGATGATAAATAAAAGCGGGCGTGCGCAAGACTGACAATGCCACGATGCACAGCCCGAATGGCCAGACGGGGATTCTGGGCATTCTGGGCAGCCGACGGAACCGACACAAGCTTTGCTGTTTGTTGGCGCTATTTCTAGGCTGGAGCTCGTGATAGGAAGGCCGTGGTCATTGGTGGAGTTCAGTCTACTTCACTTAATTCAATGACTAGTTAGTTATGGATCCGCTTCGGCATCTGAGGCCGTACCAATCGCTTTTCGTTTTCACTCATGGAAATGATTCAAAATAGGCACTCATAGAGTCATCGTGTACAATGGTGGACATCATGTGCAAAGTGTTTTCATCAGCTACATCAACATTTTCACGCCAAATGCACACCCCGCACTATCATCTACTCTTTTCGTGTTGATACAGTAGTCAGTATCCCTTGGCGGCGAGCCACTCCTTGATGGCGGCAGCATCGCGCTTCTTGTAGGCAGCTCTGGCGCTCGACTTATCCTTGGCTGTCTCCAGAGTGCGGTTGTAGCTGCTGACATCCTTATCCTGGAAGAAGGCAGTAATGTCGGCCACGTCGCCATCGTCGACAAAGTTGCTCAGCGTGCTGCGAATAAAGCGGTCCAGAACGATGGGGTTAGAGAGCTTCTTAAGGCAAGTGGCCCAATTGTCCTTCATGTACTGCCACTGAATTTGGCGGCCAAACGGATTGTTTGCAAGACCGGCTCCGAGGAAGTGCATATCAGCTGTGTTGTTGTCGCGGGGCGACGAGTTGAAGTTGAAGGGAATGATTTCATTCTTGATGATTTCACCGTCGGGAACATAACCAAGGGCGCGAGAAATGACGAGCTTGCCATCCACAGACTTGGTTTCGAACCACTCCTTCTTCAGGAAGTCAACAGCACAAGCCGTCTCCGCAACGATGGCTGCTTGAAGAACAGGGGGTAGAAGCGAGGGATGGAGAGTGCTGGCTTCGGGGTTCTCAGCCCAAGCATTGAATCGTTTCAAAGCTTCGGCAAGTGTCCTAGTCTCAATTAGTCTTGTGTTATTTGTATACACTAGTGATGTACACTTACTCGGGATGACGGCTTGACACAGCGCTCGTTAGAATATGAGTTCGCAATTGTATGGTCAGATAGGATTCATCTTCGGCAGGATCGAAGCCAAGAGACTTGATTCGGTTCTCAATCAACTTGATGGTGAATTTGTTGAGGCCTGTGCGAATGACCTCATCCTGGTTAAAGACGCTTTTGATACCACTAATGGCATCAAGCACCTGGCTCCAAACCAGGGGATGGGTCTCGTTGGCAAAGGCGCTGAGGAACGTAAGCAAACTGGCAGTGCTGCAGTTACCAGCAAAAGCTAGTTCCGCAGTAGATCCGATAATGGCCATCTTGTCGACGGGATCAAGGCGGTCGAGCTGGGAACTGAGCTTAATAAGACGGGACTCAGGGTAGTTGACGCGGAAGAAGCCAGTGGCACCAGAGTTGAGCTTGTAAAAGCCATCATCAACGCCGTTGATAGTCTCCTCCTTGGCGTTGAGCTCGACCGAAGAAATGCCAGCCTCGCCCTTCTTTCCCTCGAGACCGAGAGGCACCCACCAGGTGGTGGTATCGTCGTCGGGCTTGACGTCACCACTAGAGAGGAATCGGGTTTGCTTGACGGAAAGCTGACCAGGCTGCTCGGACACAGTAATGACGGGGTGACCAATCTTGCCAATCCAGGGTCCCATGAGTTGGTCGACCTTTTTGCCCGAGGCCTCGCTAAGGTGAGCCCACAGGTCAGAGGTCTTGGCGTTCTTGTAGGCATTGGCCTTGAGGTAGCTGGAGACACCCTTGAGGAAAGTCTTGACGCCGAGGTGATTGGCGAGCATGCGGATGCTGGAACATCCCTTGAGGTAGCTGATGCTGTCGAAAATCTGGTTGACATCGAGGGCGTCGCGAACGGGAACGTGAATAGGGTGACTGGCGCGAAGACCGTCAAGCTTGAAAGCAGTCTCCATGCCTTCGTTGACGAATTGGGCCCAAACTTCCCAATCGGGGTGAATGTGGTCAACGGCGTACCAGCCAACCCAAGTAGCAAAGCCTTCGTTGAGCCAGAGCTCATCCCTAAACTAGATTAGCACGGTTGCCAGTCTACTGCACCATCTTTAACATACCACCAGTCCATAGTGACAAGGTTGCCGAACCACTGGTGAGCCAGTTCGTGGGCCACAACGTAGGCAATGTCGTTCTTGAGACGGGGCGAGGAGGTCTTTTCATCGTAGAGAACGCGCTAGATTTCATGTCGGCTATTTGAACAGGCGATTTGAGCAAACACAAGACTTACAGTGGTTCTGTAGGTGACGAGGCCCCAGTTTTCCATGGCACCGTGGGTAAATTCGTGAACGGCGAGAAGATCCGACTTGGGTAGGGGGTAGTCAATGTCGAAAATCTCGGAGAAGAAGTCGATGGTCTGTGGAGCGTGCTCGAGTGCCCATCGACCCTGCTCCTTGAGACCCCGCGTAGTGTATACGCGAACGGGGAGCTGCTTGCCGTTGTAGCGACGATCAGTGAAGGCTTCGACATACTCGAAGTCACCAACAGCCCAGGCAAGCAGATAGGAGCTCATGCGGGGTGTTCTCTCGAATGAGACGACGTGCCAGCCGTCCCGAGAAGGCTTGGTCTCCTTGACGGGCATGTTGCTGAGAGCAACCTGGTCAACAGGTACCTCGATCTCGAGATCAAAGCTGGCCTTGAGGTTGGGTTCGTCGAAGCAAGGAAAAGCTCTACGAGCATCGCAGGACTCGAACTGAGTGCTAAACATGTAGTGCCACTCATCATCGAAGGGAACAGAAGCGGCAGGGGTAGTACCAGCAACAGGCTTGTACCTGGAGCGGTAGAAACCGGCCATGTTGTTGTTGATGGTACCCTCGAACTCGATGGTGACAGTAGCCTTGCTGGAGACGGGAATCTCCTGGTCAAAGGTTATGGTGGTTCGCTGGGCTTTTTCATCGTTGGAAAAGTTGGTAGACTGCCAGCTCTGGGTGGATTTGGTTTGATCAACTGAAACCTTGGCACGGAGCAACTTAAGCTCGAGGGTATTGACGACGATCTGAGTGGTGGGCTTGACGAGTTCGGAGTCGATGCTGCAGGGTGTCAGATTGCAGAAGCATAGGTAGGTGGCCACTTTGGTCCGTCGCACTGTAGTAGAAGAGCAAAACGGAGGAGGAGTCGTGGCTGGTGTACTCACGTTACCGTGCCCTTGTAGGTCCAGTTCTTGAACTCGATATCCTTGATAGACAAGCCATAGTGGTGAGGCTTGACATTATCGGGTAGAATTTCGCGATCAGACATGGTTTCGGCGTATCGCGCGCGTGAAGCGGCGGAGCAAGATTGCAGTGGTGTGCTGTGTAAAAGCCTAGACGGCGCAGCGCAGCGAAGTCAGCAGAGAGCTCCTAGCTTGGGGAGGGGCAGCGTCGAGCACAAGACAGCGGGTCGAAGAAGAGAGGCAGAGGAGAGATGGATGAAGGAGGAGTATGTAATTTGAAGGAGAATGAGGAGAAACGCCAGATATAACGTAACAAAGTTTGAAGGGCAAGTGACAAGCGGTGGTTGGTACCTGGGTATCGCGAATTCCGGTTATGGTGGGGGTTTTGCAGTGCGGGGCAGTGGAATGGAGGGGCACCGGTACCAGCGGCGGCCAGTACCCGGAAGGGAAGGAGAAGAAAAATTAATAGAACTTGATGATGGCGGCGAGGGAGTTTTCGATGGCGGTAACATCATACAGATTTCCTCTTATCTGCTATGTTTTTGTCGACGTGCTCATCTGGTGGTGGCCGACACTCAACAGTAGAAGCCCTGTAGAGGTACAAGATACTTCCGTAGCCAGTGCTGTTCTCGCATCACCACATGTGATTATCGTCCAAAGATTGAATAATAGAATCAGAGAAAACAAAATACACACCTCATACTAATACCGCACCGGGTCGCTCCCGGCAGCGGTACCCCTCGCATCAATAATCGTGTGCCCATAGGTATTATACGTAATGGTACTTGTGACGATTGACGTAGCCAATGAAAGCTAGGAGTGGCCAGCGTCGCCTTGCTTCGGCTTCCCGTCCTTTTCAGGGTCTCACGCCCACGAACTGCACCACGCGCGTTGGTCCACCGCCAGCAAAGGGCCGCTTGCCGAATTGGCAATTCTATCATGTCGTAGCCAAACCAATGCAGATGCAGATCATACGCGCAGAGAGAAATTCGGGTAGGATTGATCGGGCGTGGGGTTAATACGATAGACTGGTGGTGGTAGAGTTGGCTTGTCGAAGCGCTCAATTGGCCAGTAGCCCCTAGGCCTGAGTGACAGTGCCGCGTCGCACGCGTCAATGGCCGTCGGGTGTTGATGGTCAAATCACGACAGAATGAATGAAGAAGCCTGTGATTCACAGTCCACTGCTCTACATGCCCTCTGTGTTTCAGCCAATCGTTCGTTTGTCAGATGGTGCTGATCATGCTTCATGCTCATCTGCTAAGTAACTAGCTGGCGGTCCCCCTGCTTGTGGTAACTAGTTGTGGCGCCGTCACTCACGTGGCGGTGCCTGGTATTTGTGGCTAACAACGTCTGCACCGCCACTCTCAAGTCAACAGCGCCCAGCGGTGTGCGCCATTGTAAATGTCATGTTTCATGTTTATTAGTTGTCTCTATTGAGCTGCTCGTGCTATTGTAATTTTCGAGATTTATTTGAAACCTGAAATAAGTAATGATGGCCTTTTGCCATCTGATGTCAGGACCTGACTGTATGACAAGACTGGGGGGGCTGACTGTTCGTGCCACTCATCCAGTCCTTGATAGAATTATAACTACGCATAGAAGGCGAGTCAGAAGGAAGAAAGGAGAGCACATATTACGCAGGCAATTAATGGATAGGTAATTTCAACAGCGCCCATGGCTTGTAACGGCCTTTTAGTCTTCCACTGTAACTACTTCGTAGCGCCTGAATAGCGTCGGGAACATCAGGTACCTCCCAACTGACCAACGTACCACGCGACTCACAAGTACCGACTCATCCATCCCCATCTGCTTCATCATCCACAAACACCGATGCTCCATCCATCCCGCCTCGCAAACACTAAATCATCAACTTTATTCTCTCGCCCATCACCGCTCCTCTAGCGCCGTTCTCAGCGCCATTGTTCGTCAACTTGCCGTCTTCTCCACATGACCTAACTCCCTTCTCAGTCATCCTCTCGCTACCCTTCCATAACCTTCCAGTCGCCTTGGTGGGGGATCTCGACACTCGCATTTCGCGACAGCCTGTGCTCCTTGCGTCATCCCAAGGCAAATCCCATCACCATCAATCTCGCCGCGCATTTACCCCGGATACATTCATGTTTTCTAATCGAAACTATCCAGAGACGCCACGGCTTACGCACCTACCTGCGCCGCCGCCTCTTGCATAAACTTTCTGCGTGCTGGGGCCTTGTCTCGTTTCTGGTTTATTATTATTTTTTCCGCTTTGGGGCCGCGCAAGTCCTTGCCTCGTCTGGACGCCCAACCACCGCCCCACGACCTTGCATGCACCGGCAGCGCATTTGCATTCGCATTCATACACATACATCATCGGCCAGCTTACTGTCGCCTCCAGGTTCTGGCGCTGCACCGCCAGCCACTTTGTCCACATAGACTTCTCATCACAGCCCAAGATGCGACGACCTTCTTTGGACTTGAGCGAGCCCTCGCGCAATATTGAAGAGTCAAACGGCGACCCTTCCGACGGCCACGCCATGGACCTCGACTTGGATATCGACTTCGCCATGTCACCAACCGACCAAGATACCCGCGACCAGGATGCTCGCGTCTATTCGCCGCCGCCGCGCATCGCTGACCGTTTCTACCGTCCCTCACACGCTCGCCGCCGTGACTCGGCTGCCTCCTCTCGACGCAACTCTATTTCCTCGGCTCACTCGCGCTGTTCTTCCATCCATGCATCTTCCGCTCATCCCGACCAGCAAAGCAAGTATCTCGCCCAACACCTTCGTCGCGCCTCGTTTCTTGAGGATCGCAGAGCCCGCCTTGCCGACAGGGCTGCTCATGCCGAAAAGGTCCGCTTGAGAGCGGCCCTGGCAAAGGCTGCACCCCGTGGACAGGCTTCGGAAGAAAAGGCTCTCGCAGCCCAACAAGCGCGAGAGCGCAACCTTGCCGAGATTGCCGCCACCTGTGCCGAGGAAGTGCGCAAAGCGAAGCAAGTTGCCGAGCAGACCAAGGAGAAACGTGAACAAGAGGTTGCCCGCATCAAATCCCAACTCGAGGAGCGCATGGCCGAGGCTCAGCGCCGCCGAGAGGAGCTTCTCATCAAAACAACTTCTCGCAAGGTCCGCGTCAACAGCGCCTCCAGGAAGCCCGTCGACGTCTTGGATCACCTTGATCAACGCGAGGCTCGCAACTTGTCCGACCAGGACGCCGCCCGCACCATCCAAGGCTGGTGGCGCGGTCTTGTCCGCAAGCGAGCTGTCGAAGAGTTCAACGGTCTTGGCCTGAGTATTGATGGCATCAGAGACACTGACTTCGACACCGTCGCTGCGTTGCTCGCTCAAGAGAATGTCCTGCATGTGGCTGCTCGCTTGTTGCGTCTCTGTGGGCTGCAAGAAGGCGAGCCCAACTCCGTTGCTGAGATGGCTGCGTGTCGCACCTTTATGAGTGCTTTTCTCATCCTCGGCCAACCCAACAAAGTTCTCAGCACAAAGGAAGACTCCATCGATCCAAACGCCGATGACAACGTTACGTCCGCGACGAATCGCCTGCCGGCTGCCGACTTGAATAACCCTCAGTTGCAAGACCTGATTGGTAAAGCCAAGGATCTCCTCATCACATTTGAGAACATTCTTACATGGCTTACACCCGGCAACCGCTACACGATTCCACCATCTATGCGCAATGCTATCCCCGAGGCATATGCCGTATTCTACAACGCATTCATCGCTTGGAAGTCTCGCGATTCCAACGCCCTTGTTGAAGTCATGGTCATGCAGTTTGTCGAACTCGATGCCATCTATCAAACAGTCAAAGAAAGTACCGATGATGCAGCCGCCGCTCTGTACCGACAGAGCATCGAGCAAAGTCAGCTCATGTTGATCGTCCGCATCAAGCGACTGGCTGGTCAGGAAAAGGGGAAGAAGTTGATTTTCAAAGCTGTTGCGGAGGCACGCAAGGCACGTAAGGCCAAGAAGCAAATCACCGGCGACACCAGACCTCGGGTCGCCGACAACTCGGCTGGCGATGCTTCTGCTACTGCCAACAGCCTCGTTTCTCCCGAGTCGCAGACTCTCACGCCCCCATCGACACCGCTCAGCCGAGGTCAAGGCCACAGCACAAGTCAGCAGCTATCCTTCGCCCCCAAGGCTGGCTTGATGGGCCTGATTCCAGACAACCGTGTTGTTGTGCATGAGCTCGCAATCAACAAAGAGTACCAGATACCTACAGAGGACTACGTCGAGCAGCAAGCGGCAATGACTAGACCTGTCTGGGCACACATGCGCGCTACTGCCCAGGCAGATGATCAAGAAGCCAACTTTCGCATCTTCCTCAACATGGCAAGCAACATCAGGGATAAGCTGCAACGGCTACTCAAGCCTGGCAACTCAATGTACAACCTCATTGGCGAAATACTTGACCCCGAATTGGCAGAGCGGCAGTTCTACCTCGGCAACTTTTCGTATGAAAAGTTCTTTGCTGCCATGGCTTCCTTGTTGCCCAAGCTCTGTGCACCTTTCCGCGACGAGGAAGTCAACACCTTGATTCGGGAAAAGCTCAACGACGGTAATGTCATTGATCGAGTCGAAGCGCTACTGGGGTTCATTGATGTTATGCTTTGCGATTATGTCAATTATCTGATGCGCATGGCTGCGCCGCAACTCATCGAGTCTGCGGCACAGTACGAGGCAAAGCGCTTTGCACAAGAAATTGCAGCCGGTGAAGTTCGCCTCAGCGTGGCTGAAAATGCCTGGCGCGAGGCTGTCAACAAGGTCATGGCTGAGGTGCAACGCCGCGACCCAGAAGGTATCAGTCATCCCAAATCGCGACCCGCTGCGTCACGCTTCTATGCACAGATGCTCGTAGATGTCTTTACGACGCTTTCTCTCCCAGTCTTGCCTGAGCAGGTACCCGAAATGCTGCGCCTCGACATTGCGCGCATTGCCAAGGTCTCAACCATGGTACAGCGCATCATTACTGTTGGTGCCGTGTTGCTGCAATGCAAGAACCTCCTCAAGCGAGATGTTCGCTCACAGTGGAAGACGGAGGCATCGCGTGTTCTCGCCGTGCTTGAGAACGAGCACCCATTGCTTGATACCGAGCTAGACGGCACCATGGCGGCACTGGAGGCTGGCCGATCTATGCCCGCGGCAACAAAAACGCAGCTGCGACAGCTGGTACGCAAGGTTTTGGAGTCGTCGCGAGAGATGGCCCGCACCGGCATCGAGCCAACTCAGCCAGTACTTCGCCTGCTTCTCACGCGACTTCGCGGCAACATTCTCGCCAGACTCGTGCCTGGCTCCTCGTCGGCGAATGAAAAGGTCAAGGCGGCAAATTCGGCTGGTGAGAAGCTTGCCAGCCTGGGTCTGTCGGAATTTGTCGACCGCGTCAGACAAATTTCTGATCTCCTCGACAAGGTTGGATCGGTGGACCGCGCTGCGCACAGCACTTGGTGGGATGCCGTTGCCATCAAAGTGCAGCAGGAGACGATTGAGTCCTGAAGCTGAGCCAACGGGCACTGTATTTTTCTCTTTTGAGTTTTGCATCTTATTCCCAAGTACATTTGCTGGCGTTTTGGGAGGACTTGTTTCTGCATTGGGACGTAGACGACTATGGGTGGGTGGTATGGGAATGGTGGGGTTGGCACTTTGCAGTTGGAAGAGACTGGGATACGACGTTATGATATTGGGATCATTGGTTTGGGAATATTCGGGCGTTTTTTGCTTTTTGATTGAACAGTTGCGCATCTGAACATGTTGCCAGAGATTTGCTTTTTTTTTTGGACGTTAGACTTGGACATGAAGATTGCAGACACAACACTGTCCGAATTCTTTGATTTGATTGTTCCACCTTGCAGTGTTTTCTATATAGAGTGACGTGTAAACCTGCACACCACGCATGTATCGTATAGTAGTAGGCTACACATCCTTCAACGTAGGCAGTTGCTTACAGTGTTGAAGTCACACTGCTGTGTCGTTGGCGCCCGAGGTTGTGCAGGTGAGATCTTCGCCTGTGTTCAACCGAAACCTCGGTCGTTTTCTGAATCGTCATCCTCCACAGCTCCTCTTCCATCGGCGTCATCAACGGTGCCTCACGAGACATGCTCGAAATGTGCACCCGTGGCGGGTACGCCGTCGCCTCGGACATCTCTGAGAAGCCTTGGTACGGCAGCCAAGCGAGATCCGGCGTCGGTTCGGGGCGCACGACGCCGGCGCCAAACCTGCGCGTCCACGCAGAGGTGCTGCGGTTGCTTTTGCGGATACGGCGGTAGCGGTCATAGGTGTAAATGGTGAGGGGTCTGTTGAAGACGTGGTGGGTTGGTGGTGGTGGTGGTGGAGGGATGGCGGCGAGGAGAGAGCGAGGCGTGGTGGCGCAGCCGGTTACGATGGATAAGGCGAGGGCGGCTTCGGTGAGGATAGATGGTGTGACGGAGGTTGGGGAGGATCTGTGCGATGATGAATGAAGATGGACGAGGCGAGCCGCGATGATGGGTATCAGGCTGTAAGAGTTGCGAGGTCAGCACGACCTTGTCTTGTCCCCTCGGGGGGGCTAATATCTTACAGGAGACGCGTGCTGAATGCTGCCATCAGACACGTACGTCGAAGTTTCGGCATGGCCAAGAACCAGATAAGGCTGATGGATAGGATAAAAAGAGCGAGCTCGATGAGTATGCCGGTGGCTTCAATGCCGACCCATCGCAGGTACTGGTAATGGAGCGGTCGAATGTCAGACGGGGGTTTGGCCTCTCTTGGGAAGCTGGACTTACAAAAGACTCGCCCAGGATACCCTCCCAGGGTTTTCCGTCGTGAAGTGTCAGGCATAGCACAGAGGCAATGGACCATGAGCCGGACAGCGCGGCGGCCGTCCTCGCGGGCCAGACGAGGGGAGAGGCCTGCGCGGCGGCGCTGACGAAGAGGGCGCAGGATATCCTGGCGAAGCCGAGCGAAAGAAGGTAAAGAAGCTGTGCAACGTATTGTAACTAGTGGTATCTTGTTTAGCTTGCCTGTTTCTGCGGATGAAGCGTTGCAAAAAAAAAAAAAAAAAAAAAAACGTAACGAGTTGCATCTGTGTCGAGTCTGGTCTGTGGATGTGGTGACTAAGACGGCCGTAGCTGTGCACAATACAAAAGGCGATTATGATGGCATGAGCAATAGCAAATATCTAGAAAAGAAGAGAAGGAGAATGCCTATTAGTCGTCTTGCTCAGGTTTCGTATCATCATCCATCGGTGGCGTTGATCGGGTTTCCTTACAAATGAAGCGGTATAAAAGTAGTCATCCAATCTCCAACGTTTGGCTTTGCATCTCGTCCAGACGTAGGCGGCAAATGCAAAGACGGCCGCTGCGTACAGCCATCCCATGGCATAGGCCAGCGAGTTGGCGCTCCTTTCGACCATGTTCTCCTACCTCATTCGACTTGGGGAGGCTGATGGCGTGAGCAGCATGGCTGTCAAGAGGGGTCGGATGGGGATCAAGATGGGTAATTTATCCAAGTAAAGATGTTGCTGTGATTGGAGATGGATGTGACTCGGAACGATAAATAAAGTCAGTCTACTCGTTTCTTGGCAACTCGATTCTTTATTTGAAAAGAGATTTCAGAAAAGCAAGCAAGTGGCCCGTCATATAGTTAGTTAAAAACGCACCATTCTCCGGTGTGCGATCCCCGCTCTTGTATTCTGTCAGATGTGATGCCATCGTCCCTGTTCTCTTTCCCCCGCTCTCATCGATATGCACCGGCTCGCCGCATAAACGACAAAAGGTGAGCGCTCACTTGAGGTGAAGCATCCATAGAGCATCCAGACCGTCAGACACAGACACACCACCACCACTACGAGCCACCCCATGGGCACGCATAGTTGGGGCTAGTAAACGAAAAAGAAAAATCACCGACACTCGAGGACTTCGCTCACTAGCTCATTGGTCTTTTATGCTCTGCCGGCCGGCCGGCCAATTGAAGATTTTCGTGAGCGGGGGGAGGAGAGAGGATGAAGCGTCTAACACGCTGCCCACGCGGCTCTCGTCGGCGCAAAAGTGCGCTCTGCATAAAGATGGGCATGCTAGGTCCAGGGCTGTAGAGCGAAACGATTTGAAACGAGAGCCGCTGGGGGGGTTTCGGACTTTTAAAAAAAAAAAAAAAAGTCAACCGCGGAAATCAAGATTTTCTCTTTCGCGGCCTTTTGCTCCGAAAAGTTAAATCACATAGTAAGCGGTGGGTGTTGATGCGGTTGTTGGTTGGAGGGGGGTAGCACATCATTTTTCAGTTTAGGCCGAAACTCAAGAGCCAAGGCGGAGATAACATGAATGATTGCAATCGTTTGGTTTTCCTTGTTTTCTTTTGCCAAGGGCATGATGGCTTTGTATTATCCTGGACGAGCGTCGTTCGCGCGACTCAGAGCACGGTTCTCGGTCTGGCCTTGACCCTAGAATTGGACGCGTGCCTTCGTGGGGTAACGGCGAGGCGGTGACGGTAATGCTGGCAACTAATAAGTGGATGATGATTGGTATATTCGGGGAATGATTTGCACATTTTAACCTTTTTTATGCATTGCGATTTGTGTCACAGGATTCCCCAATCTTTGTGGGCGAGCATGAACCGATAAATGATTTGTCAAAAGATGCAGATAGATAGATAACTGGCGCAACCACTTTTGCCATCCTGGTCACGAAACGATATACCTTGGCTAGCTATGGCCGGTTTGTTGCAGGGAGCCGATAAACGCAAACGACTATAATTCTAGGCTCTATATCCGACCGAGATGTGTGTGTGTGTGTGTGTGGTTCTCTTGCCTGTGTGCGTGCGGCCTGGATTCCCGGCAGTCGTTGGTCGGCTGATGTTGCGCGCTGATGTTGCGCGCTGTGAAACTTATCCTGCCGCACTTTTATAGATGCAGAATTCGCCGCGGTTATTCTTGTTGAGTTTTGTCTGTTGAGAGTTTTGTCTTCCTATACAACTGCCATGATATATATCCAGATGGAAATGCTACGTTGCACTCTCTTGATGCACTCGCTTGACCCGCTGCGGCTCAACTTGGTCACGATGAAGCAAATGACTGGCAAGAAAAGAATGAGTGCTTTTGAGATGCTTGGTCAATGTTTGAGATAAATTGAGTGCTTCTTTACACGAAATTGACCTTTTGTTTTGATGAGTCCACGCACAGTCCATGGTCATCACCCAGATTCAAAAAGTCCATCACTTCAATTTAATACAGCTTCCCATTGAAATCACTCAATTCTCCAACAACCTTTCCATAAACTTGACTTGAAGAGCAAAGCATTCTTTACTAGCTGCAAGATCCTTTGCGAGCTCGTCGAACCCGTGCAGCAGCCCAGGAAGCACACGCAGCTCCGTCTCAATGCCCGCCTCCAGAAACAGCAACGCATAGCGCACATTTTCCTTGACAAACAGGTCGAGCTGTCCAACATATAGAGTAAGCCGCGGCAGTCCAGCAGCATCCGTCAGCCTGCCAGGAGCTGCATAAACGGGCACCTCGTCTCCGCCAGCCTTGGCTCCCAGATAGGCCGTCCACCCCGTCGCGTTATCATCTTGGTCCCAGAGCGTCACCACCCCAGCTTCCATTTTCTCCTTGTTTCTGTCGTCCAGCATGGGGTAAATGAGAAACTGGCTCGCAATCGGGGGCGTGATGCCGCGATGCCGCCCCAGCAGCGTGACGCCGGCGGCGAGGTTGCCCCCGGCGCTGTCGCCCATGACTGCGATGCGAGCCACGTCCACGCCCAGCGTCGCAGCGTGGTCGCGAATGTACTGTAAAGACGTCCAGCAGTCTTCCAGCGGGGTCGGGTACGGATGCTCCGGGGCGAGCCGATAATTCACGGCGTAGATGGTGACACCCGATGCGAGGACCAGCGCGTGCAGCTTCCTCGTAAACGTCTCCACGCCGAGTGCGACGAAGCCACCGCCATGCATATACAGCACAGCAGGGCCAGGCTTGGTGTGCATGGGCTCCGTGCCGGGTTTCCGGGATACACGCCATAGTGGGATACCGAAGCCGTCCTCGGCTGGCACGGACAGAATCTCCTGCGCAGTACCTTCAGGTATAAGGTCAGGCGTGCCGGCTTCGGTTAAAGAGGCCATGGCAAGCCTTCGGCCTTGTACGTCGTGGATTTTGGGCTTTGGCTTGTTCAAGATGTGCCAAGCCGGCGCAATCATTTCAGCGAATTCTTTGTCGAGAGAAAGTCCCATGGTACAGCGATGAAGAAGGTGCAGGTATTGAGATGAGTGTGTTTTTTGAATCAAGAGAAGAGAAATTCATCAGCCATACTCAAACAGCCGTTTGTCTCTGTTTTCTCTCCTTCTTAACATGCCTTGATATGCCGTTCAAAAAAACGCCAAAGACCGGCGTGGCGTCCCAAATGTCCACGCGATGGCCTCGCTCCCACTTGACACATCGGCAGTTAAAACCTAGTTACTTCTTTGAAATCCGCACCGCCGAGACTTTCAACAAGATTTCGGGAAGGCTCAACTCTAAAGACCAGCTAAAACCTGTTGAGCGGATACATCCGCGTCCTGCTTGGGACGAATCGCGGGGAATATTATGGAGTGTCTCCGTGCATCCCGCGGGGAGCTACAGCCGCCGCCGCCGCCGCCGCCTCTCTCACAAGCACTAGACCGCATCTGGTGCATCAACATCGTAAAATCACTTTTTGACGTGCGGAAACTCCGGGTTCACGGGCGAGCGGCAGAAATTGTGATTCTGCCCGGGACACCGAACCAGTTCTACACTCATGAGAGACCAACTGGCAGACGTTGACGTACCGTTCCGCCGAACGTGGAGTTGTCATCTTGGCCTGGGATGAAACTCATGGCCAGGATATAAGTTTTTTGATGCGCGGAAGGCGCGCTTCCAGGAAATTGGCTTCCTCTCCCAGGCCATGACCTCAACTCTGCCATGCCCACGTACATGGACAAATACGAGTTCACATGGTGTGTTACACAGCAGCTTGGTCGTATAATGTCTCGGCGTAAAAAGTATTAAAGCGCGCGTTTAGTAGCTCTCGATGCCTGTAATCCGAATACCCCTCTTTACTGCAAGAATTTGCTCGTCTTGAATCATCATGGCTACCGTCGAAGCATCCTCTCTACCAGACCAAGACGTCATCATTGTCGGCGCAGGCTTTGGCGGCTGCTATGCGCTGCACTCTCTGCGACAGCAAGGCTACACGGCCAAGATCCTCGACGCCTGCGACGATTTTGGCGGTGTCTGGCACATGAACCGGTATCCCGGGGTGCGCGTCGACTCGGAGACGCCGACGTATCAGTTCAGCACGCCGTCCGTCCGCGAAACGTTCAACTTTGCCGAGCGGTACTCTTCCGGCGCGGACATGCGCCGCTACTTTTCCCACATGGCCGACACGCTCCATCTCCGCCAGGATACCCTCTTTCACCAAAACGTCGTCGACGCCCGCTACGACAGCGAGACCAAGACGTGGGTGTTCAAGACGGAACAGGGCCTGACGGCGCGGTCACGCTTCGCCGTCTTTGCGACGGGCTCCAGCAACAAGGTCCACGTGCCCGAGTTCAGGAACAAGGCCGCGTTCAAGGGCCCCATCATCCACCCCAAGGCGTGGCCCGCGGACCTGGACCTGGCCGGCAAGAGGGTGGGCATCATCGGGCAGGGCGCGTCGGGCGTCCAGATCCTGCAGGAGCTGGCCAAGACGGACTGCGCGCTGACAGTATTCGTGCGCACGCCGCCGCACTGCCTGCCCATGGGCCAGTGCCGCATCCCCGCCGACGAGTCGGAGCACCAAAAGAGCTTCCTCGACGCCGCCTTTAGCTACGCAAAGTACGCCAGCACGTCCGGCTACCTGTGGAACGCAAGCATCTCGACTACCTACGCGGAGCACACGCCCGAGCAGCGGCGCGCGCTGTGGGAGCAACTCTGGCGGCGTCGGGGCTTCGTCTTCCTGTCCGGCCTCAACTACGCGGACCTGCTGAGCAGCGAGGAGGCCAACCGGGCCGCGTGGGCGTTCATGGCCGAAAAGCACCGCGCGCGCATGACGGACGCCGCAAAAAGGGACGTCATCGTCCCGCTGGAGCCCGACGCGTTCCTGTTTGCGCTGCGTCCGACGCTCGAGCAAGACTACTACGAAATGGTGGACCGCCCCAACGTGCAGCTCGTGAGCCTCAAGACGTCGCCGATTGCAGAGTTTGCCGAGAATGGCATCATCACCGACGACGACGGGCAGCAGAAGCAGACACTGCACGAGCTCGACGTCATTGTCAGCGCCACCGGCTACGACGCGGTGACGGGTGCCCTGTACGGCATGAACATTCGCGACCGTCACGGGACGCTGCTGCAGGATAAATGGAGAGACGGCATCGCCTCGTATCTGGGCATGATGGTCCCAGACATGCCCAACGCCTTCATCCTGTACGGCCCGCAGGCGCCCACGGCGCTGGCCAACGGGCCGCCGTTTCTCGAGCTGCAGGTCGAGTTTCTGATCAAGCTGCTGGCGCGCGCCGAGGCCGACGGCAGTAGTAGGGCCGCCGCCATTGAGGCGACCGACGCCGCGGCGCAGGACTGGCGGAGGAGGACGACGGACGTCTGGAATGGCTTGCTCGCGCGCCACTCGCAGTCGTGGTGGGTGGGCGCCAACATTCCGGGAAAGAAGCGCGAGCCGCAGATTTGGGCTGGCGGTCTCCAGGAGTGGCGTCGAGCCTGTGACGATGCGTTGAAAGACTGGTCACATTTTGTCTAGCAATTTTTTTGGGGGGCCACGAACTTGGCTTTTGGTGTCGCGGCTGATGATTTGACCATGAGTTAATACAATGTCGGAGAAAGCCGTCTGGAGCACGTCTGGGTTGCGAGATGATTGGGGCGTAAAAGAGCGACTTGCGCACTAGCTTTCGATAGACAACCAACATCAACTTTTTTGCACGATACTTCAAATTTGACGCCAGCAAACGCGAAAAACAAAAGCAATATAACCACCAAAAAAT